CGGCCCTCTGTCTCAAGAGCTTTCTGAACTGATGCAATCCCTTCCTCTCTTGACCCCATTTTCTTCATCTGTAAGATCCATGGTTCACCTTCAAAGAGCCCAAGTCGCTTCCTGCTCTGATAGTCTGATTTTCTGATTTTCCATCTGCCCATAACCTACTGATAAACTTGCCGAGCCATTCAGAGTCACTTCACAGACATCAGTTCTACCAGGGGAGACACAAAGCATGCCTCTTAATCCTCCCAAAGATACTGATTAAGAATTTAGGATAAATATGCATCAGATAAAAACCCAAACCCTCCCCTTCACCAATTGAGCATTTTTGCTTCTGCTTGTACTATTTCTTCAAATCCCTCCTCTTCCAGGGAGTCGCCTCTGATTGCTGCAGTGTGTTCTGACCCTTCCTTTCTCTCTGAAACCACGGAACACACCCCATTACTACTATATTGGATGGTTCTCTAATCACTTTCCGAGGCTTCTCTCGCTGGCTATGTTCTAAACATATTTAAGACAATAAGTCCAACGGAAATATTCCATATTCTACTCCAGTGCCTAGACAAGATTTGAGCTTCACTGTTGATAGGTCAATACCGTGTTCTACATCACAGGCTCAAGGCTCTAAGCACCCTACACAATGTCCTTCCAAAGAGCCATGACTTTACCGCCCTCCGCGATGAACCACTTGACGCAGCCACATATCCTAGTCGTAACCTCCCCTCCGCCCTGCCCCCAACCACCACCCACTTTATTCCACGCCCACTGCCCCACCCTCACTAGCCTGGAGACTGTACTTTATGGAAAGTAACTCAAGGTCAGCGACACTGATGCCGCAGTGTCCTGAAGGATGTGGTCCTAACAAAGATCTCCATGGCATTGGGGTTGAACCTAATTTTCCATGTTCAGCGGTCAGAGCAGGGATGTAAGGCAATGGGTTTCCTTTAGAAAACCAACTCCAGAAGCCAACAAAGTTTTGGTAGAGAAGAGTTCTGGGAGGGGACACTTCACAGGGAAGGGTGGCTGTGGAAGCAACCTTTAAGTGTCCCCCAAGTTTTATCTCCCCTGGGTTCCCTTATTTTGATGGTTCCTACCCCAGCTACACCCAACCGCTGGGGCTGCAGGACCTCATCAGCATGGGGCAACCAGCTTTGCTCAGATTGCCTGAAGCAGCTGGTATTGAAACAAAAAAAAATTACTAAATTCTAACCAAACACAAATGGGAAAATGTAGAAAAAATGCAAACATACCTTAAAATAATGATTTTCCCCAAATAGGGAGTTTTGCTCCTCAGATAGATACTGTAGTCCCAAGGGGATTCTGAACTCCAATGGTCTCCCTTGAAGCCTGGTTCCTTCTGCCCCATACTGTCCTGGCCTCTCCCCTGCCCCCCGCCCCCATCTCTCTCTCTTTCACACACCACACACGCGCGTGCGCGCGCGCGCACACACACACACACACACACAACTTCCCAATGTCACACCTCAGATTTTCCTCTACGTAGCAGTCTGAAACTCCCCCGAGAAGCAGAGGAGAGCTTAGACACAGAGAAGACAAAAGTGCAGAATTTAATTCTAGATCAGCAAAAATAATCAATGTGTTGCACATGCACCTGTGCACGTGTGTGTGCGTATGATCTACGAAGTTGCTGGCAGCTATGTTATTGCACAACATTCATCAAACAAACTGACTTTTTCCTGTGAGTACCAGGAAGGAGAGACCACGAAATTCAAATGCAGATCAACTGTGTTTCACCCAGGTCCGCCATCGCCTCGGGACTGCACGGGTACAATGGGACGCTGGTGGGACTACTGATGACCGTGTTCTCCAACAAGTCAGACTACTACTGGTGGCTTCTGTTGCCTGTGACCTTCACAGCCATGGCCTGGTAAGGCGCCTCATTCTTTCTGCTCACAGACCCACAAGGCCCCGAGACAATCGTGTCTTACACCAGTGGGGACATGCACAGTTACGGGGCCCAATGTCTTCACAGTCAGACTGGTTTGTCTTGAAAGACACTGTGAAAGTCCATGAGTTCACTTGCAACCCAAAAGGATCATTTTTTAATTTGGAATGACAGGGACCCTGTAAAGCAGCAAAGCAGCACATGTGGTTTTTATTCTTTCTTGAACGATAGATTTCATAATAAAGGCTAACATTTATTGAGTATTTCCTATATGCACAGTGCTAAGCAAGGTAGGGCTATTATTGTCCCCAGTTTTCAGAAGGGAAGACCAAGGCTTGCAGAGGTTAGTAACTTGTCCCCAGGTCATACTCTGTAAAAGCTATTGATGCCCTCATTGTGAACCCAGAGCCTGCACTATTAAGCTCCAGGCTATATGAGAATCGTCTCTCCTGTGGCCCAACCAAGACCAAAAGCTGAAAACTCGCTGCAATAGAGGCAGAGAACTTTGTTTGAACAGAACATCTATATCTAAAGCATGAGAAGAGAAGCATCAGTTGAGATCTTGTGTAATGACCTCATTTTGCCGAAGGAATAAAAAAGCAAGACAGAAGGATATTAACAAACATTAACTTAGCACGGGGTGTCCTTGGCCCTTCACTCATGGGAGCCTTAGTTCACCTGAACGTGCAGCGGGTCTGTAGCTCCTGGGGGTGTCTGTCACATGCCTGCTGTCACACAGTCTGAGGTGAACCCCTGTCCCCCAACCCCTGTACTCACCTCTTCTCAGACATGCTGACTGATTTTTAACATCTCTAAGAAGTAAATGTCTTTCTTTGGTTTCAAAGTCTGGCATTACCAAAAGCAGTTCGTTTAATTTAGTTTAAGTACTGTTCCATTACTTTTTAGTAGTGCTTGCAAATAAATTACGACATTAAGCATTCTGGGCAATTTATGTTTCTTCTTAGGGTCTCTTTCTTTCTTAATTTATCAGGACAAACAGTTAAAGCAGTCATTCCGTGGGGATTTCCTTAATGTCCCCCACAGGCCCCGTGTAAGGAGTAGGAGAACTTGCCTTCATTTGCATACATTTGGTTTATAACCACACAGATTAAGCCCCTGGCACAGCTCCTCAGCCACATTCTGCACTGGGTAGCAGTTTGTCTCCAGTGCCCCACTCCTACCCCCACTGCCCAATTTTAAAGACTGATCACCACTGATGGACTCTGGACTGGGCTCTGTGCTACTACTTCAGTTGTTCACTGATCTCACGTTGTCCTTGAAATCCAATCCACGTAGTAGGTGTTAGTAGTGTCATTTTCCAGGTTTATCCAACAAACGAATGTTTGCCAAGTGCCTGCTAGGTGCAGGGAGCATTCTAGATGCTAGGGAGCACTGTGAACAAGAGAGATCTCTGTCTTCTTAGAGCTGACATTCTTCTTGGCAAAGGTAGAAATAAACTCATGAATTAGTTAATTAAAAAGATCATGTTGAGATGCGGTAAGTACTTTGAGGGAAGCAAAATGGGGCAAATGGGATGGAGAGTGATTCTGGAAGTGGGTGGTCAGAAAGGCCATATTGCAGAAGGGACGTTTGACCTAAATGATAAGAAGGCACCTGCCATCTGAAGATCTAGGTGAAGGATGCTGCAGGCAGAAGCAATGGCACATGCTAAGACCTCCACCTGGAGAAGTATAATGTGTTCAAGAAACAAGACCAGTGGGGTTGAAACCCTGAAGGAGGAGAGGTGGCAGCAGGTGAAGGCAGAAGTAGATGAGGGTCAGGCCCCATACTCCTTGTAGATCCAGTAAGCCTTTCAATTTTTATTATAATTTTCATGGGAAGCCATTAACGGGTTTTAAGCAGAAGAGTAACAGGATATGGTTTAAATTTAAAGAAAGCACTCTGCTTGCCTTGGGGACAATATTGGAGGCACGGTTAGGAGACTGCTCAGTAACCCACAAGGGATGAGCGTGGTTTGGACAGGGTGACATCCACGAAGGTGGTACAAAGTGCTTGGGCTTGGGTATATCTTAAGGAAGGTAGAGGCGACAGGACTTCCTGAGAAGCTGTGAAGTATGGGGAGGGAGAAGGAAAAAAGACTCAGATACTCCAATGATTTGCCTGAGCACCTGAGTCGATGGGTAAGATTAGGAAAAACAGATTAGTGGCAGGAGACAGGATGCAGATTGAGGGTTCTATTTGGACATGTCAAACTTTAGACTTCCAAGTAGAGCGGTTGAGTAGGTAAGTGGATATGCAAATCCGGAACTTAATTTTATAGTCAAAATTCGATGGCAGAAGCATATAGAAGATATTTTTGTCCGTGGGACTAAAGATATCACCCAGAAAGAAAAGATTTTTTAAAAGAGAGAGAGAAAACCCAAGACAGAGCTATAGGATCTTCTGATATTTAGATGTCCGGCAGAAGAGAGAAGAACCACTGAAGGAAGGTTGAGAGGGAGCAGCTGGACGAGCAGAAAGAAAACTAAGAATGTGCAGAGTCACAGCAGCCCAGACAGGAAGCATTTCAACCCAGCCGGAGGATCCATCAGTCAAATGCAGGGGGCAGGGACTGACCATGGATTTGGCAAGATAGAGGTCATTGGTGAACTGGACAAGACCCATCTCCAAGGCCTGGGGAGAACACAAGCCCGAGTAACGTGGGTTTAGGAAAGAATGTCAGTAGAAAGCTTGCGGATAGCAAAGACAGACAATGCTTTCGAGGAGTATGGCTGTGAAGGGAAGCTGAGAAATGGAGCGATAGCTGGAGCAGACACTGGATTAAATGGGGAGGATTTTTACAGGTGGAAGGTATTAGAGTATGTTTGTATATCTTTGAGAGTGATCCAGAGAAAAAGGAGAGATTGAAGCCATAGGAGAGAGAGGAGAGAATTGCAGGAGTGAAGTCTTTGAAGCGGGTTGATTCCCAACGTACAGGGAGAATAACTGGCCTGATAAAGGAGCAAGGACAATTCCACTATGTGAAAAAGGCAGAGGGGCAGAGGATGTGGGAACAAGGCAGTCAGAATGTAGCTCTTACGGGTGGGAAAATGAAGCATTTCTATTTTCTTAATGAAGTAAAGCAAAGTGGCTGGCTGAAACTAAAGGGAAGCAGATGTGAAGATTTAGGCGAAAGGAGAAAATGTGAAATAGTTGTCTCAGCAAGTTGGAGGGTTAATTTGCTAGGGATACATGGTAGGCTTTTTAGGCCATCTTAAATGCCCAGTTGATACTCGCGGTCATTAATAAAAAATAGACCAATCTACTATATCATATGATTTCACGTTTGGTCCTGCAACTGTAGAGTGTTAGGTGTCTAGGGTGTCTGGTCTCTTCAGAGGTAACTCAAGCTGAGGAATATGAATTACCTAATGTTGCTCACTCAACCTGTAAGTATAGGTGAGGGTTTGCACCCAGCTCCATCGGGCTCCAGAATTTATCTTCTTCCCAAGGAAGAGGCCAAGAAGAGAGAGAACACAAACAACTCAAGGTCCCATTTTCACATGGTGGTTTCCAGAGTAGCTCCAAGTACTTCAGCTGAATCCAAGCCTGCATGTTACCTGTGTCCCACAGCAGCCTCCTCCTAAGACGTCAGACATCCAAAGTGTAGTCATAGCCCAGGATAGTAGCCATTGCACACCTTGGTGTTCCAAAGGCAATATATGATATTTTGTAAGAATTACATTTTGTCTCATTTTCTAAGTTTAAGAAACAAGAAAATATTTAAATGATTTTATAAAGTTTCTATTCAAAACAAGTTATAACAATTAAAATTTTTTTTCTCAAAGTGCAACCTTAAACACCTTATTCCCAACCCCAGATCAATGGACCACTAGGGTTCAACAGAGCCAGGAACGACTGCGCCAAAGAGAGGGGACAGTAGATGGTACTGTGGCCAGAGCTTTTAAGATGGTGGAGACCTGAGAATGATCACGGTAATTAACCCTTTGTCTCTTCCATCTTCAGCCCAGTTCTTTCTAGTGCCTTGAATTCCATCCTCAGCAAGTGGGACCTCCCGGTCTTCACGCTGCCCTTCAACATTGCGGTGACCCTGTACCTGGCAGCCACAGGCCACTACAACCTCTTCCTCCCCACGACACTGGTGCAGCCTGTGTCTTCAGTGCCCAATATCACCTGGACGGAGATTGAAGTGCCCTTGGTAAGTTACCCAATGGCAGACGAGTTGGAACCCCCTGATTCCACTGCAGACCTTCTCTCTAAATAGTTTGTGCATTACCCAGTCTCTCAGCTTCTCTGGGTGCATCGCCATAAGATGATGGGTCTTAAGGGAGAAGAGGACAGGAAAGGGTCACTGCCACCTCCATATGTTCTATCGACAAAACTTTACTGAAGACCTATTTTGTGCCGGCACTTTGTCAGACACTGAGAATACATGGGGACAACAACACCCCTACCTTCGTGAAGCCTACACTCTACACAGAAAAAATAGATAATAAACAAGAGTACAGATAAGCGTTATGTTGATAGCATAGAATGATGGGATTGAGGAAGAAATATTACGTAAGATGGATAGTAAGGTGAAGGGTCAAGAAGCTAAAATGAAAGTTTAAAATTAGAATTTTAAAGATGTTATCAATAGAAGATAAGAGTGAATTTTTATGTGCTTTCCGTATCAATGGTTTTCAAACAAGGATGATTTTACTCTCCTGGGGACAGTAGACAGCATCTGCAGACATTTTTTAATTGTCAGGACTGGGGTATATGGGTGTTACTGAGGTGTAGATGCCAGGGATGCTGCTAAACATCCTACAATGCACAGGGCACCCTCTCCCCATGACAAAGAATTATCCAGTCCAAAATGTCAATAATGCCAAAGTTGAGAAACGCTGCTTTATATCCTACTATCGCAGATGTACGTATTCATTTATTTTACTGATCTCTCGACATCAGAGATAAAAGGATATAATAGAAATCTAACATAAGATTAAATATATAGAACTGTAAGATTTGGACCTTGTTAATGAACCTTAGATGGCTAACATCTAACACTAAAGTAAGTTTATTAGGTATCAGATGCTGTTCCAAGCCTTTATTAACTCATTTAACCCTCGTAATTACTGCATATTGTAAGTACTATCATTATCTCCATTTTACAGATGAGAAATGTAAGGCAGAGAGAAGGTTACTTGCCCCATGTCAAACTGCAGCTAATGCCTGAGCTTAAAACCCAGGTGGCCTGACACAGAGCCTACGCTTTGACCCACCACCCCCGTAGTCCATGAGGACCTGTACCCTCAGCTGGACAGACCACAGTGAGGCAAACCCCACAGCTTCTCAGTGCAGTCCACCCCGTTATTAGGTGCCTTTACGTGTTGGAGTATTCTCTACATTCCTCAGAATTCTCCCATTATCTTTCACCCATTGGTTCTAGCTCTCCTTTTTAGAGTGATTCAGAATATGATTTCCATGATCACCTTTTGAATATTTGAAAACATAACCTACATCCCTCAAATATCGTTCATGCGATCTGATTTCCGATCCCTCTCTCCCCAGCCATGCCCGTGGTCTAGATGTGCTTACAGCTTGGTACGGCCCCGCTGCTGGGTGTTCAGCTCCGCCACTCTGGGGCAGAGTGGACAGCTCAGGTCCTCCAGGGACAGGCACACAGTCAACCTAACCCTATCAGAAAAAGAAAGGCTCCCTGCCCCAACTGCAAACACTGCTGCCAACAGTGCAAACTTTTTTTAAAGTTTTTGTCTTTTTAAAGTTTTGTCTAGGGCTGGGGCTGCAGTGGGATCAGAGGTAGAGTTAGTGTCAAAATCCAAGAAAACAGAAAAGACAGAACCCTGTGTTTAAGGGAAAGCCCACCCTCTCAAATGGAAAAGGGCTGGGTTAGGAGCAGGGAGAAAACTAACGTTGACAGAATCTGCAATGATCAGCCATCTGGCAAATAAGCACACTGCCTTTGGGGCACAGACCCACAGTCCCTGAGCCCTACCCAAGAGGCATGGTCCGAGTGGCAGCCGCGGTGACATGCAGCATTGCCAGAGAGAACGGACCCCACCCAGCCTGCACTGTGAGGCTGTCCAGTCCAGGGCTGAGGGGAATAGAGCGGAGAGAGCCACAGAGAAGAGGTGCCTCTGGCTCGTCTGCAAAATCAACAGTCAGTAAGTGGCAGGACCCCAATCTGCATCCCTGGAGGCCCAGGCTCACCCTCTGAACTTCCCCGACATCACCACTCTGACAAACATCCAGATCTGAGTTCTGAAGAATCAGTGCCGTTTCTCTCTTTCTCTGTAAAACAATGAGGGGAGCAGCTTCCTTTTTGCTG